AGTATCTTTCCATCATCCATTGTCCAAGTTTGAATAAGATAACCCAGCAAACAATTGAGAAAATAATAATAATAATAATAATAATATCTTTATTTACTACACGTACATGTACAAGGTATACAGGCCTAGCTGACATCAGTGACATACTACTGTATAGAAAGCCGCTTGTTATGCTGAGTATTTCAAGAAAATTAGGTCAGTGTCCCAGGATAACACCAACACTAGTCGACTAACACCCAGGTACCCATTTACTGATGGGTAAACATAGACAACAGGTGTAAAGAAACACGCCTAATGTTTCTACCCTGGCTGGGAATTGAATATTTACCAAAAATCATACATGGCTAACCCAAGCCAGGTACTAAAAATAAGCCACGTTGACTTTTTTGGGGTTATCCTAGGTTCTCTACACATATGCTGCTATGTGTGATAATCTATAGAGAGAAAACTTTTTTGTTTCATGTTTATGGTGGAGTACGAGTGTATATCATAGTTAGCCCTGTGCTACACTCCGTTTTCTCTAATATAAGCCACCAAGACAAGGATAGGAGAATGGTATTTGTTTACCATATCCTCTTCATAACTCTGTCGAACTGCTCAGTGTTATGCCAAATATTATTCATTCTGGAGTATTTAACATGTTTTATGTTATTTATATTGTTTCTTATGTCATATTAGATTAATTGTGATAGGCAAATAAGCTGTAGTGTTGATATTAGCATAATAATAAAGCATATTCTCCTGCATCATGAGACTGAGCTCATGACAACCGACAGTGGCTTCAAAGCCACTGTGTAGGTGCTTTACATAATGAGAAGAATTTCTTTTATTCACTGGAACCATGGCTAGGGCTAAAAGTAAGCAGGTTAAAACAATAAATGGAGAAAAAGAAATTGGAATGACTTATGCAGCAAGTAGCACCACCAAACAGTAGCAGCAGGTTGGTGTGGCGACCCTGGAAATTTTAAATTATGCTAGCCAAAATTAGTGCCAAATAACTGAAGGAACCGAATAACTGATTGCCGGATTTGTGAGGGAGGACTGTAGCTAAGAATTTGGTCGACTGGAATAATGTAATTGGCCTAAAATGGGAGTCAAAGTTGGCAAAATCGCTGATGTGTAATTATCGCTGACACATCAAAATTCACAAGAGCATAATTTCGTAAATTTTCCATCAAATTTCGTACTTTTTGTTTTATTACCTTCAGATAAAGATTCTCTACCATTTCATAAGAAAAAATAACAAAATTATTTTTTTGAAAATTCTTGGACCCTGGTGCACACTTCGAAATTTGGCCTCTGGACCCTGAAAGGGTTAAGGCCAGCAAAGGCTGGTTCAAAAAATTCAAGAAGCGAAGTGGCATACACAGTGTTGTAAGGCATGGAGAGGCTGCAAGTTCAGACAATCATGCGGCTGAAAAATTCATGCATGAATTTAAGGTGTACGTAGAGGATGAAGGATTCCTCCCCCAACAAGTGTTCAGTTGTGAGGAAATAGGCCTCTTTTGGAAGAAAATGCCAAAGAGGACCTACATCACGCAGGAGGAAAAGGCACTGCCAGGACACAAGCCTATGAAAGATGGGTTAATTCTCTTGATCTCTGGTAATGCAAGTGGGGATTTAGAAGTGAAGCCTTTACCGGTGTATCAATCTGAAAATCCCAATGTTTTCAAGAAAAAACAGTGTTGTCAAGAGTAAACTGTGTGTGATGTGGAAGGCTAACAATAAGGTATGGGTCACGAGGCAAATTTTCCTTGATTGGCTCAATGAAGTGTTTGGCCCGAGTGTGAAGAGATACCTCCTGAAAAATATTGCCACACAAGTGCCTCCTGGTAATGGACACTGCTCCTGCTCATCGTCCAGACTCGGATGACCAATTGTTGGAGGATTTTAGTTTCATCACAATGAAGTTCTTGCCCCCTAATACCACTTCCCTTATCCAGCCCGTGGACAAGCAGATCATTTCAAACTTCAAAAAACTCTACACCAAAGCACTGTTTCAAAGGTGCTTTGATATGACCTCAGACACTGAATTGACCCTAAGAGAGTTCTGGAAAGATCACTTAATATCCTCAGTTGCATAACTCTTACAGATAAGGCTTGGCAGGAAGTGACTTCCAGGACTTTGAACTCCGCTTGGAGAAAACTGTGGCCAGAATGAGTCCAAGAGAAGGGTTTCGAAGGGTTTGAGGCTGACCCTGTCGATCCTATACCTGTTGTGGAATCTATTGTGGCATTGGGGAATTCCATGGGGTTGGATGTGAGTGGCGAGGATGTGGAAGAGCTGCAAAACCTTTATCTGTAACAGTAACAGACCACAGCTGAGGAAATTGCTGCAGAGGGAGAGAGAGAGGGAAGGTGCCTTCTTCAGTGATTAAGGACATTTGTACAAAGTGGAGTGAGGTGCAAACGTTTGTGGAGGAACATCACCCTAACAAAGCTGTTGCAAGCCATGTCAGCAACATGTACAATGACAATGCCATGTCCCATTTTAGGCAAGTCTTAAAGAGACGCCAGAAACAGAGCTCTCTGGACAGATATTTTGTGTGACAGGGGTCCAGTGACTCTCAAGCTGGTCTTAGTGCCCTTAAAAAACAAAGAAGGGAAGTAACCCTGGATAAGGACTCGGTACATAAAGTCTTTACGGAAGGAGATTCCCTTTCCGAACAATAGTAACTTCTCCCTCTCCTCTCCTCTCCTCCTGTCTTCCATACACCAACAAGAGTTTTCAATAAAGGTAAGCGTGATGTCATTGCTGCATTACATGTATACTGATCTGTCATTTATTTCAGTGTGTAAATCTATATTTAATCTCTAAAAAACATATTTTTTGTTAATACTTCTGGGTGTCTGGAATGGATTAATTGGATTTACATTACATGTACAAGTACCACCGACTTACGACCGAGCTTGGTTCCGACCAACTGGTCATAAGTCAAAATGGACCTAAGTCGAACCTTGGAAAATTGCCGACATACTGGGTAAGACAATGTCAAACCTTTGCTATATAAACTACCTACATAGTACTGTAATGTACAATCATTATATCGTTATCTTTACCATAATTTACTTCTGTTGATATATTTTAATCATTTATGTACTGTATATTATGTAGGCCTGGTCACAGACCGGGCCACGGGGGCGTTGACCCCCAGAACTCTCTCCAGGTAAACTCCAGGTATACATAGTAGTGAACTGTATTGTAAATTTTACATCTCATACAGTATCATATGTTACTGTTATCTTGAAGTATTGTCGACACAGTGGAATGGGAGAATACCACTGGTAGTGTCATCCTGCCAGAATGTCCTATAACCTATGCCCTAAGTAAAGAGAAACAACTCTGGAATATGTGTAATACATATCCGGCTGGCTGGCTAGCAGGCCGGCTGGCCAGGTGAGTGGATGGTTGGCTGCCTGGTTGACTGAATTTGGCTCTCTCTCTATCTGTATCTGTCTCTCTCTCACAGGTACACATAAGTGAAGTTATCTTATATTGTATAAATTACCTAGGATAACCCAAAAAATCCAGACAAAGTGCTATACAGTGGATCTGTGCTCCAGTGCCCCAAATTAATAATAATATTAATAAATTATTATTACATATTATTAATACAATAATACTTATGTACAAATATTAATATTATTATTATTAAACTATAATATAATACAGTGTTTACTCATTACTTACCTTAAAATATCTGTAGTCTTAATGTGGAGTGAGAGGTGAGTAAACAAGATTAAATGAATAAACGAGAGAGAGAATGAGAGTGTAGAAGATTCACGAGTTTTGTAAACAAACTAGTTGTTGTTGTTACCAGCCCGGACACGAATGGTTTTTGTTCACTCTGTCAAGCCGACTGGAAAAACATCTCGTATGTTAATTTATACGTTACATAGCATGTTTATTATATAATTTTGAAAAAAAAAAACAGATGGATTAAGCAAAATGTCTATATTAACGTTTTATACACATTTAATGCGCCTCAGAGCGATTATTATTGTGTTATTATTACCATTATTAATATGGCATCTTCAAGACCAATAACACTCTTAATGATTTTAATGTGTACCTACACACCAGCACAGGTGCAAGATGTGGAGTTTAAAACAGTTAAGTTCATATTTTATTCATTCTAGAGTGTATATCAGGTTTTTTTTTTTTTTTCAACAGTCGGCCATCTCCCACAGAGGCAGGGCGACCCAAAAATGAAAGAAAATCCCCAAAAAGAAAATACTTTCATCATCATTCAACACTTTCACCTCACTCACACATAATCACTGTTTTTGCAGAGGTGCTCAGAATACAACAACTTAGAAGTATGTACATACGTATAAAGATACACAACATATCCCTCCAAAATGCCCATATCCCAAACCCCTCCATTAAAGTGCAGACATTGTACTTCCCATTTCCAGTACTCAAGTCCGGCTATATAAAATAACCGGTTTCCCTGAATCCCTTCACTAAATATTACCCTGCTCACACTCCAACAGCTCGTCAGTTCCCAAATACCATTCGTCTCCATTCACTCCTATCTAACATGCTCATGCACGCTTGCTGGAAGTCCAAGCCCCTTGCCCACAAAACCTCCTTTATCCCCTCCCTCCAACCTTTTCGAGGACGACCCCTACCCCGCCTTCCTTCCCCTACAGATTTATATGCTCTCCCTGTCATTCTACTTTGATCCATTCTCTCTAAATGAATTGTGATAGTAAATAAGTCGTACAGCAATATTAGCATCATATTGAAGATGTGACGACTCTGCTTCGTGTGTAATACCTGTTGGTTCATAAGCGGCTCTGAGACAGAGACAAGCAGACAGACACACACACAGGTAGACAGAAAGACACACACACACAGGAAGACATAAAGACAGATAAACAGACAGACAGACAGACAGATATAGACAGAGACAGATATACAGGCAGACAGATACAAACAGGTTTATGTGCAACAGTGAAAACAAATAGAGTTCGAGAGTAAGAGCCTTTCTTGCCTTCTTGCCACAAACTCCAGTGCAAAATTCAGACTTCCTCTTAGGAGCCATGGTGAAATTCACTGTCCAGTTAGTACAGTTAATACAGTATGATGCTGCTGATAGGGCAGGGTAACTCAAACTGATGCTGCCTGCATGGCTCGTTGCTGCCACGAGTATTGTCAAATATTGTACAGTAGCATGCATCAACTGGGCTGCCAGAAGCACGGTCATAAGTCGAGTGGACGTATGTTGAGCAGGTTGTAAGTCGGACGGTAGGTGTATTTCTCGTGGGGAAAATGGTTTTGATTTTCGTGAATTTCAACTTTCGGCAGACTCTCTGGAACGGATTAATCACGAAATTAGAGGGTCCACTGTATTTGAGTACTATTTCAGTACTTAATATTAGTGCCAGAACAAAGATTAGCTATGAAATCATTAAAACTACTACAAATTGTAATTATCAGAACATAAAAATTATACAAATAAAAAAAAATGAGAAAAAAAGGTACAGGTCTCCCTCAACATTCGCGTTTTCCACTTTTGCGGGCTTCAAACATTCGCGAATTCCCAGCCGCTCAATCATATTTAAAATATGTCATTACATATGTTAGGAATTGTGGTGGTAGCAGAATTTGTTTGGTGATAGGGCAAGATAGTCCTTCAATATGACACTAATATCAACTGTATGGCTTATTTTCTATCACAATTCATCTAATATGACACAATAAACAATATTAATAATATAGAAACATGACATATACTCTAGAATGAATAAAATATGTCATTAACCCTTTGACTGTTTCAGGCCCCTCTCTGAAACTGTCATTCTATGTCGCTCAATTTTTGAAAAAAAAAAAATTATTTTTTCTTTTGAAATGATAGAGAATCTTTTCCCGATGGTAATGACACCAAAAGTTCGAAATTTGGTCGAAAACTCGTGGAATTATGCTCCCGCGAAGTTAGCGGTCTCGGCGACATATGCGTATCGGCGATTTCGCCGACTTTGAGCCCAATTTTCAGCCAATTCCATTGTTCCAGTTGACCAAACTCATAGCTATTTCTTTAGAACTCCATTTTATCTATCAGCTGAGTACAAGAAACCTCCCATTTACTAATTTGGACTACCCAATATGGTCAGAAATTGGCAATTTGGCCAATTTCACGCAAAATAAAAAGATGCCAATTTCAAAATAGGGTCCAGAATAAACAAGGTAGACATTTGTGGCACTAAAATAACATATGCTCTGTTCATTAGTCACATCTCTAGGCCCCTCTTATATTATTATTGCTTTCTATTTTGATTTTTTATTCATACAAAAAAATACAAAATTTACTGTTATGCAGACGACTGCATTATTGTAAAAATGGTATAAATAATATCAGTGCACTAGTGAAAGAATATTAGACTCCCCAGTTGACGTGTATTGGACGTGTGGGTGTGATTTATGTACTCTTGAACATTGGTAAAAATCGAACATTTCTGCTACTTTGAGCTCAGTTTCAAGGTCGTTTTCATCGTAAAAGTAATGAAAATCATCTCTATTTCTGTAATATGTTTTCCATTTTATCACCTAAGACCATGAAAACGCGAATACAACGATAAATACTATACGAAAATACACCTCAAAGTCGGCGTTTTATTCCAAAAAAACGATCAGAGTTTTTTTTTTCTCATTACGCAATGTGTGCTGCAGGATTTTTTTTATGTGGTGCACACTGACCACACAGACCCATTCTCTCACATGTGGGCCTACCAGCTTTCTCCCACTTGATTTGAAGCCGCTAGAATTATTGAGTATATATACGTCAGAAACATTGGCTCGTAAGACGTATTTATACGTCGAAAACAGTCAAAGGGTTAAGTATGTCATGAGTGTTGCCGTGTTGTTGGGTGTATAAGGGCCACTGAGAGCATAAGCTGTACATAATGGTGGTGAAGGTGGCAGAAGAGACAGTAGAGGCGGCGGTGTTGTCAGTCATCCTATATGACTCCAACAACATTGGAAGAGTTAGGTTCGTGCTGTCCTTTTCTATCGATTAATCGCTTAACTTACTTGCTACAGTGTTACTGCTACACTTTATCGCTGGCTGGCGCTATAGCCTTTATCGACTTGTGCTGCTTTAGTATCATACACATTGTAGAATTATTGAATCACTGAAGAAGGTACATTCTCCCCTCTCATCTCCTCCACTTTGGTACTCTGTTACGAGTTCTTTCTTGAATTCAATAGTTTTTCTCACCTTCTTTACCAAAGGGCTGGCACTAGTACAATATTTTACGATGTTTTCATGTATTTTATGATTGTTCATGGTTCAATAGGTTAAGGAAGCAGAATTGTATTATATTTCCCTACAATATATTGGGGCACCAAACATTTGCGATTTTTCAACATTCGCAAGGTTCTTGATCCCCTAACCTTCGCAAATGTTGAGGGAGACCTGTATATCAACAACACTTCTGCAAGCGGCAGCACTTCATGTTGCCATCAAGTGAGCGACAAGTGCCAACTTTGCGGCCTTATACGTGTATTTCCATAAGTACTGACTCTAATTTTTTTTTTACATTATGTAAAAAAATGTCTTCATTAAAAAAAAAAAAAAAAAGGCTTTTTTTTTTCTTTCAAAATATTCAGAGCGCTGGTCGAGAGAACGTAGATCTATGGTTGGACAGTTAAGGGGTTAAACCAGTTCTATTCACAGACGACACTATGTCTACTCCCACTCAAACCCAGCTATACTTAGAGACACCATAGACAACAAGCTGCTAAAAATATATACTTGGATGATGATCAGCAAACTAACTCCAACATAGACAAAACATACTTCATGCTGATTGGAAACAGAGCCTTAAATATCCAACTTAATACATCGATAAATGGTTCCCCCATTACAAGACACACTGAGAGTAAATTTCCAGGTCTAGACCTTGGCTGTAATCTTAAATTTCGTTCCCACATCCAGCATATATCCAAGAAACTATCCAAATCAGTAGGCATCCTTTCCAAGATATGATACTATGTACCCCAAACAACATTCCTTACCCTATTAACACTTTAATATATCCCTACCTTACCTATGGTATTTGTGCCTGGGGATCAACCACAGTCAACCACCTTAAACCTTTAACCCCTTCAGGGTCCAAGGCCAAAATCTGAAGTGGTGCTCCAGTGTCCAAGAAATTTTGAAAAAAAAAAAAAATTATTTTTTTCTTACAGAATTAAAGAGCATATTTTTGTGAAGGTAATAAGACAAAAAAAAAATTCTGATCAGTACTTACCGAGATACAGTGCCAAGAAGTTTGTCAAAAATGATGTGGTGGCGGCAACATCGACGAATTCCACATACGCGCATTACATTATTTTGCGGTTTTTGTTGTTTTTTCTTTTCTTTTCCAATTTTTTTCTATTCCTACTAACATTTGGGGCCTGAGAGACCAATACTGTATATAATGTATATATATAAACTCACTGTATTGAACACAATAACCGCACTAAAGTTATTATCATATTACAGTGGACCCCCGCATACCGATTTTAATCCGTGCAAGAGGGGTAATTGTTATGCGAAATAATCGGTATGTGAATTAATTTTCCCCATAAGAAATAATGGAAATAAAATTAATCCGTGCAAGACACCCAAAAGTATGAAAAAAAAATTTTTTTTACCACATGAAATGTTAATTTTAGTACACACAAACTGAAAAAGGCATGCACAATTACCTGACACTTACTTTTATTGAAGATCTGGTGATGATTGATGGGATGGGAGGAGGGGAGAGAGAGTGTTAGTGTTTAGAAGGGGAATCCCCTTCCATTAAGACTTGAGGTGTCGAGTCCTTTTCTGGGGTTACTTCCCTTCTTCTTTTAATGCCACTAGGACCAGCTTCAGAGTCACTGGACTTCTTTCGCACAACATATCTGTCCATAGTGGCCTGTACCTCTCGTTCCTTTATGACTTCCCTAAAGTGTTTCACAACATTGTCAGTGTAATAATCACCAGCACGGCTTGCAATAGCTGTGTGAGGGTGATTTTCATCAAAAAAGGTTTGCACTTCAAGCCACTTTGCACACATTTCCTTAATCTTTGTAGTAGGCAACTTCTTCAATTTCTCTCTCCCCTCCTCTGAACCAGTTTTCTCAGGTCTGGCCTCTTGCTCTTGAAGTTGATCTATCAGCTCATCAGTGGTTAGTTCTTCATTGTCCTCCTCCACCAACTCTTCCACATCCTCCCCACTAACCTCCAACCCCAAGGACTTTCCCAATGCCACAATGGATTCCTCAACTGGCATAATCCTCTCAGGGTTAGCCTCAAACCCTTCAAAATCCCTTTTGTCTACACATTCTGGCCACAGTTTCTTCCAAGCAGAGTTCAAGGTCTTCTTAGTCACTCCTTCCCAAGCCTTACCTATAGGTTTACACAATTGAGGATATTAAAGTGCTCTCTCCAAAACTCTCTTAGAGTCAGTTGAGTTTCTGAGGTCACTACAAAGCACCTTTCAAACAGAGCTTTTGTGTACAGTTTTTTGAAGTTTGCAATAACCTGCTGGTCCATGGGCTGCAGGAGAGGAGTGGTATTAGGAGGCAAAAACTTCACCTTAATGAAGCTCATGTCCCCATAAAGTCGCTCTGCCACGTCTGTAGGATGACCAGGGGCATTGTCTAACACCAGGAGGCACTTAAGTTCTAATTTCTTTTCAGTTAGGTAATCTTTCACATTGGGGGCAAATGCATGGTGTAACCAGTTATAGAAAAAGTCCCTAGTGACCCATGCCTTACTGTTTGCCCTCCACAGCACACACAAATTCTCCTTGAGGACATTCTTTTGCCTGAACGCTCTGGGAGTTTCAGAGTGATACACTAATAAAGGCTTAACTTTGCAATCACCACTAGCATTGGAACACATCAACAAAGTAAGCCTGTCTTTCATAGGCTTATGTCCTGGGAGTGCCTTTTCCTCCTGAGTAATGTAGGTCCTGCTTGGCATTTTCTTCCAAAACAGGCCTGTTTCATCACAATTAAACACTTGTTCAGGTTTCAGTCCTTCAGTCTCTATGTACTCCTTGAATTCAT